TGGCAAAAGCTTTTTCACTCGCCTCGTCCCATTCGAACTTTTCTCTTCGTTTTAACAGGTTGTAGAACGGTAGGCACTTGTCGGTGGATCTTGCTATAAATCGATTCAGCGCGGCGATTCGGCCCGTCAGTCGTTGGACTTCTTTCGCATTTTTTGGCGAGGGGAGTTCTAGGATTGCTCGTATCTGTTTGGGATTCGCTTCTATTCCTCTCCGAGTGACAACGTATCCGAGAAACTCGCCAGAAGTTACGCCAAAAGTGCATTTCGCCGGATTTAATTTCATTTTGTAGTCGTTCAGGACGTCGAAGCATCGCCGAAGATGTTGTACGTGATCCGAAGCTTTGAGGGATTTTACCAGCATGTCGTCGATGTAAACTTCGACGGTCCTTCCGAGCTGCTCGGCGAACATTTTGTTTACCAGTCGCTGGTAGGTGGCACCGGCATTTTTCAGCCCGAAGGGCATGACCTTATAGCAGTACGTTCCCCGGTCTGTGATGAACGATGTTTTCTCCTGGTCGTCCTTGTGCATGAGGATTTGATTATAACCTGAGAAGGCGTCCATAAATGAGAGGAGATCGTTTCCTGCCGTGGCTTCGACGAGGCGGTCGATGTGTGGGAGCGGGTAGCTGTCTTTTGGGCACGCTTTGTTTAAATCTGTGAAATCGACACATACGCGCCACTTCCCATTTTTCTTTTTGACCACGACTGGGTTGGCCAGCCATTCTGGATACTTAACCTCGGTGATTGAACCGGCGCTGAGCAGTTTGTCTACCTCGTCGTTTACAGCTTTAGCTCGCTCGGGGCCTAACTTGCGGCGCTTCTGCTTGACAGGTTTGAATGTTGGGTCAACATTTAGCTCGTGGGACGCGATAGTCGGGTCTATCCCTGGCATATCCTCAATTGTCCATGCAAAAGTTGTCGCATTTTGCTTAAGGAATGCGACGAGCTGTTCTTTTAAGTTTGCTTCGATCTCCGCCCCGATAGCCACACATCTGGTTGCGTCGGTTTCATCGATGTTAATTTGCTCGGTTCGACACAGCTGGGGTTCTTCGAAGGACTTGCTTGGTTTTACGTCGCCCTTCGCGGGTACCGCCGGGATCGTTAATTGCTATAACTTCTTAGCGAGTCGGTTTTTATGTTCGATGAGGAAGCACGTACGAGCGATCTGCTGGTTTCCCCTTAAGGTAAAGACTCCGTCATGGGTTGGGAATTTTACACACTGGTGATAAGTTGACGGAATGGCTTGCATTTGATGGATCCAGGGCGTCCCGAGGATAATGTTGTAGATGGCCGGTTTATCGATTATGACGAACTTGACCCATGCTATGGTTCCGCCAACAAACACCGGTAACTTTATCGTTCCGATGGTCATCACGAAGTCACCGTCAAATCCGGCTAAGGGTCGCGAGACTGGCTTTATTTGACGATCTGTTATACCCATGATGGCGAGGACATCCTTAAATATAAGATCCACCGAGCTCCCGGTGTCAATCAAGACTCTTGTTACGCGGCTGTCTCCGATAATTAACTCGACGACTAACGGGTCGTTATGCGGCGTGTCGACTCCTTTCAAATCGTCTCCTGTGAAGACGATTGGTTCATCTTTATGCTCGACGAGCGGCCCGGGTGTCGACGACCAAGTTTCTGCTAGTCCGGCTTTCTTTCGGTATTGCTTGATCGAACGGACCGAGTCGTTGCAGTGTTGTAACCCTCCCATGATCATCCGAACCTGTCGGACTACCACGGGTGCGTCGGCGATGGCCTTTCCGGTACGTTGCCTTTTGGCCGGATCGTTAACTGGTTCGGTCTGTGTCTTAGCTTCCTCGGCTTGAACGGGATCTTGTCGTTGATTCTTGTTCTCTGCGATGCGGTCGCACTCGATGTTGATCCCTCCGCTTTTATACTTTGCCATGAGCAGGCTTTGTAAGTAACGACACTCCTCGGTCGCGTGGGCTTTACTTTTATGATATTCGCAAAATACCGAGGTCAGTGCTGGTGAGTCGACGTCCCTTAGGTATTTATTCCAGGGCTTTGGTCGCGGTGTTGTACCGTCGGCGTTTACGACGAAGGTTGCCGGTTTCCGCGCCGGATTGGTTCGTTGCTGGGCCCCCGACTGTTGATTATAATATTGCCTGGGCTCGGTGCTTGCTTCTTCCGCCGCTTTGACCGGGGCCGGTTCTTTTACGGTTGTTTTAGTTGGATTGTGCTTTTTGGCTAAGATGATTTTTTCCTCTTCCAGCTCGATGTACCTCGAAGCTCGGTGCAGCGCGTCCTCTAAGGTGCTCGGCGCGTGCAGGGTGATATCGTCTCTAAATCTTGAGTCGTACCAGACAGCGTTTCGAAGTGCAACTATAGCGGCCTCGTCGGGCACAGTGATTTTTGTTATGATATTTTTGAATCGGTCGATGAAGAGTCGAAGTGGCTCCTTGGGTCCTTGCGATAGAGACCATAGGTCGGCGTTCGTCGTTTGATTTTCGATTAGGGGCGAATAATGCTTAAGAAACGACGTGGACAGTTGGTGGAAGCTGCTTATGGTGTTTGGCTTAAGGCGAGAGAACCAATTGAGCGCTGGTCCGGTTAGGTGCTCGCTGAATATCTGACATCTTCCGGCCTCGAAGTTTTCCGGTGTTAGTGCTGCCCTGTTCACCGCTACGTTGAATGAAGTCAGAAATTCCTTTGGGTCGCCCTTTCCGTTGTAGCTTTCCAACTTGATCTTCTGATACTTTCGGATCGTGACGCTTGTTATCCTTCTGGTGAAGGGGGTTTGCTGAGTTTCTTCGAGGACGCGGTCGAGTTCTGGGGCCGTGCTAGTGGCACGGTGAATCTTCGAGCTCATTTCGAGGACGGCGCGTCTTAACTCAGCTATCTCCGTATCTCGTGGTTGAGCGTTTCCTGATGTGGGAGCGTGCTGGATCGGTTGAGGACGTCCCGGTAATTCCGAGTCGTGGGCGGCATTTGCGCTTCGGCTTGTTTGTAGGCGGTTGATTTCATCCATAGAGAATGCCTGCGCGGCGGCTAAGGATGCGAATCGCGCGTCCGTTCGTGCATCTTGCCGTCCTAGATGGTCTAGGATGCTCTGGAGCACCCTGTTAGGTTCCGTCGGGTTTGGTGTCGCAACGTGCTCTCCTGCTCGGGCCGTAGCCTCGAGGTTTGTCGGGCGTCTTCTACTTGGTGAGGCCGGATCGTTATCTTCTTGCACCGCTGGAGGCGTTCCGATCCTTACTCCCACCGCTGGTCCCTCGGGTGTCTGAGGTAACGACGCGGGAGCGCCTTCTGGGAGCGGTAGCTTTGCCGGTGGCGTTCCTAGTGGAATCGGAGTCACCGTTTCTCCTCCTGTTGAGGATGCGTTGTCGTCTCGGATACCCGCGCTGGTGCCTGGATTTCCATCTGTTGCCATTTTGCTGTCGTGGGCTCGTTCTATTGACTGGAGAAATCTCTGAGCTATCCCCCTACCTGGCGCGCCAACTGTTGATGCACGAAATCACACTAGTACGGAAGTTTTGGATCTCAAAGGAAGTAAAGAGAATCTTCTTAATAGGACGAGCTTAAGTAACTTTATATCAACGAGCTACAGATGACGATCTAAGTACAAACGACGAGCTAGTATATGTTCGGATCGAATTCTTGCGTTGGGCGAGCTGAATGTAGTGCGGAGTGAAATCTTCGTTGCACGGAGCGAGCTGAAGACCTTGTAACGACCTAAGTGTACTCTCTGCGTGTCAGCGGAAATTGTGGATGGATGTGACAGGACTCCACATCCCCTATTTATAGTGAACAGTGTAGGGCATCCCGGGACGTATCTTGACGATTTTACCCCTCCGTGCGCCTACGTGGCATAGTGATGGCGGTGATTGCGACTGGGCCGGGCCGGACATCTTTCCTTGGGCCTTCTAGAAGGTTTCGTTTATACTTTCGGGCTTTTACTGGCAAATGGGCTGAAGGCCCATTTTCTCCCTTAACAGTAATCCTGTCACATTATACTTCTTCTAAGACGACAAAAAAAAAGAACGTTTTTAAGGGTTTTAAAAATGGTAATTAACTTGGTTAGATAATGGGCTTTCTTTTTTCTCTCGGTAGAGAATGTCAGGAACAGGAAGGTGTTGAATATCGCAAGTCAAAGTTACATTGTTGTTGGTTAACAGATTTTGAATATAACCTTCAGTTTTATTTTTCCACATTTTTCAAACTTCTTAAACTTGATTGAGATGTTGACGCGTTCGTATGTGAAAACTATTGTGATAAAGAACTAAGGTCCAATGGACTTCAATCTTTTTAAAAGATGCAACGCATTAGTGAAACTTTAGATTACTACTATATTCTTCACAAAAACTTATCCATCTCAAGAATAATATGGTTTAAGGTAGATCCAATATGCCAAAAGAAATTATGTTTAGGTAGACCATTATTTATGTAGTTTTTATTTTGGATATAAACAGTATAAAGCTGTAATTTTGTTTTTTCGTTTATTTTGATCAAAAGTACGATAAAGTTTATTAACTTGTTAAATCATAAACTAATATTAATTTGTTTTTAGAATTGTAAAATAGTCATTTCCTTGGTGGCCGTCATAATGTTGTGCTTAATTTGAAACGAAAAAGAAAAACAGCTAATGTGATCTGTCACTCATCAAGCCACGTCAGCCGGTGGTATACTAACGATTGGTATCTCTTTTTCACTATTTCAGAGGACAAAAGAAACAGAAGTGCAAAAATCATAGGTTCGAGTATTGGAGTGACCGTTTTGCTTCTTTTAAGCTTACTTATCTTTTTCTTGTGGAGAAGGAAGCAGAAGCGATCAATACTAATTGAAACACCTATTGGTAAATCAGTAAATTTTAGTTCTTTATTTTTGTTTGTAAATTTTTAAAAACTAACATCTTGACTGTTTTTGGTGTCTGGATGAAACAGTTGATCAAGTGAGAAGCCGAGATTTGCTAATGAACGAAGTTGTAATATCAAGTAGGAGACACATATATAGAGAAAACAATACAGACGATCTCGAATTGCCATTGATGGAGTTTGAAGAAGTTGCCATGGCCACAAACAATTTTTCTAACGCCAACAAGCTTGGACAAGGTGGTTTTGGTATAGTTTATAAGGTACCAATGATTGAAAACTTAATTCAGAATCTATCACTGGACAAAGATTTTGTTGTATAATGAAATTTCGGGTTACAGGGAAAGTTACTTGATGGTCAAGAAATGGCAGTGAAGAGACTATCAAAGACATCAGTTCAGGGGACTGATGAGTTCAAGAATGAGGTAAAATTGATTGCAAGGCTTCAGCACATAAACCTTGTTCGGCTTCTTGCATGTTGCGTCGATGAGGGTGAGAAGATGTTGATTTATGAGTACTTGGAAAATCTAAGCCTCGACTCTCATCTATTTGGTTAGTGTCTCAACTCCTAACAACTCTGTTCTAACAATTTTTGAATGTCTTTAAAAATAATGTACTCAACCCGGTGATGATTCATTGGCAGACAAATCCCGAAGCTCTAAGCTAAATTGGCAAATGAGATTTGATATCATCAATGGTATTGCTCGAGGACTTCTATATCTTCACCAAGATTCACGGTTTAGAATAATCCATAGAGACTTGAAAGCAAGTAACATCTTGCTTGATAAATATATGACTCCAAAGATCTCGGATTTTGGAATGGCTAGGATCTTTGGACGGGATGAAACAGAAGCTAGTACAAGGAAGGTGGTCGGAACCTAGTAAGCAATCATTCTCCAAAATATCAAAAATCTTTGTTTTAAATCTGATTTTTTTTTTTTAACTCATAACTTTGAGTCTAATCTTGGTTATGCAGCGGTTACATGTCTCCTGAATATGCAATGGACGGGATATTCTCGATGAAGTCGGATGTTTTCAGCTTTGGGGTCTTGCTTCTTGAGATAATAAGTGGCAAGAGGAACAAAGGATTCTACAATTCTGACCGTGACCTTAATCTTCTCGGTTGTGTAAGCTGAAAACCTCCAAACATGATCTTGTTTCCAGTCAAAATTTAATGATAACACTAGAAACATTTCGATCATTATACACAGGTGTGGAGGAATTGGAAAGAAGGAAAAGGGCTAGAGATCATAGATCCAATCATCACAGAGTCCTCATCAACGTTCAGGCAACATGAAATCTTAAGATGCATACAAATTGGTCTCTTGTGTGTTCAAGAACGTGCGGAGGACAGACCAACGATGTCCTTGGTAGTTTTGATGCTCGGAAGCGAATCAACAACTATTCCTCAGCCCAAATCGCCCGGTTATTGCCTGGGGAGGAGTCCTCTTGACACTGATTCTTCGTCGAGTAAACAGCGTGACGACGAATCTTGGACAGTGAACCAAATCACTGTCTCAGTCCTTGACGCTCGGTAATTTGAAACCTACCTAGCCAATCTGTTTATACGCATATTAACTCTCTGTCGTGCTTATGGTAAATTTAATGTAAATTTAAAAAAGAACAAGATTGGAGTAAATCACATTCTTTGGGTTTCCCTTTTACATAGTCTGTGGATGAGTAAGTACAACCCTAAGACATAGCTGTTTAGCTAGTAGAGCTTGATAAAATCGTAAAGGGTACAAAACCTCTATGTTATCCATTGTAAACCTCTTTCATTGCCATCCGAACATGGCATCACATATACATGCTACAATTCTTTCTATTGCGACCACTGATTAATTTTTGAAGTTAAAGTCTCGAGAAATTTAAAACATGGCATCACATACGTTGAAAATACTAGAAAAGTTTTACAAACACGATGTCAGTATTTTTCTAATAAAATCATAATTTGGCTGGAAACAAAAAGAATCATGTTTAGAAAATAGTGAAGATAAAATTGTACAATTCGAAATAAGATAGTCTAATCGTATCTCAACTTGTAATTTCGAATGTGATTTGAGTTATATGAATTGCTTTGTTTTCAAATCGATTAACCTAGGTCCTAGGATCACAATATTTTGGTCATCGCACTGGTACCAAATCTGGTGTCCGATCCATTGGATATCTGTAGAGACCTAAATCAATAATCCTTCATATCTTGGGTTGATCCGTAAGAGAACGCGTAGTAGATATTTAACTATACTTTCTATAAAGATACTTAATTCTATGGTTTCATACATAAGCTAAATAATCATACTGTAGATTACAAGTGCAATAAAGGAAAGTCGAATCATGTAGTATCATCGTTAGCCATTGAGAATTGTTTTTCTTTCCATCACTTATTTTTGTAATATCTAATAATACGAACGTTCTCTCAGTAACTTTCAAATTACCGAGGCTCCACTTCCGTGGTGGTGAATTCGATCGTAGTCGACGTCCAAGGATCAGAGCTTATAGCGAGACAATAACCAGGCGGTTTAGGCTTAGGAATATCTGTATCACTCCCGAGCATCGAAACAACCCATGACATCATTGGTCTGTCCTCTGCATATTCTTGAACACACGTGAGACCAATTGTTATGCATCTTAAGATTTCATCCAGCTTGAATGCTTGTGATGATGAATCCATCATATTCGGATCTAGAAGCTTATACCCTGTTCCTTCCTCCATATTTCTCCACACCTTTCCATAAAAAAACAAAGCTTTTCATTATTTGATTAATCTCAATGAAGGAAGAACGAATATTGGTTTTGGCTAAAATAATTTTTTTTTAAAAAACGAATTTGATTGGTTTAGGCTTACGTAGCTGAGAAGATTAGTGTCCAGGTCCGAGCTGTTGAATCCTCTGTTCTTCTTGCCAGTGACAATCTCAAGAATCACTACCCCAAAGCTGAAAACGTCTGATTTTTCCGAGTATACCCCATCACTAGGTGTTGAATATTGCAAGTCAAAGTTACATTGTTGTTGTTGTTGGTTAATAGATATTGAATTTAACCAAACGTTTTTCAGTTTTATTTTTCCTCTTATCAAACTTCTTAAACTTGATTGAGATGTTGACGCGTTTCGTTTATTGCATATATGTGAAAACTTTTTTGATAAAGAACTAAGGTCCAATGGACTTTAGTATTCTTAAAAGATGCAACGCATTGGTAAAACTTTTAATTAGTACTATATTCTTCACAAAAACTTATCAATCTCAAGAATAATATGGTTTTAAGGAAGATTCAATGCAAAAAGAAATTATGTTTAGGCAGACCACTATTTATGTTTTTGGATATAAACAGTATAAAGCTTTTTTTTCTTTGTTTGCGTTTTATCTTTAATCAAAACTCAAAAGTACGACAATGTTTATTATTTTGTTAAATCATAAACCATATTAATTTCTTTAAAACTAATGCAAAACATTCATTTCCATGGTCGAGGTTCTAAATATTGTGCTTAATTTGACATCTCTTTTCATTATTTCAGAGGACAAAAGAAACAGAAGTGCAAAAATCATTGCTTCGAGTATTGGAGTGAGCGTTTTGCTTCTTTTAAGCTTCATTATCTTCTTCTTGTGGAAAAGGAAGCAGAAGCGATCAATACTAATTGAAGGCCCTATTGGTAAATCAGTAGCTTTTAATTCCTTTAATTTTGTCTGAAATTTTTTATAATCACATATCTTGACAGTTTTTGATGTCTGAATGAAACAGTTGATCAAGTGAGAAGCCTAGATTTGCTAATGAACGAAGTGGTAATATCAAGTAGGAGACATATATCTAGAGATGACAAACAGATGATCTTGAATTGCCATTGATGGAGTATGAAGCTGTTGCCATTGCCACTGAAAATTTCTCCAACAAGCTTGGCCAAGGTGGTTTTGGTATAGTATATAAGGTAAATATGATTGAAAATTTAATTCAGAATCTATAACTGGACAAAGATTTTGTTGTGTAATGAAATTTCGGGTCACAGGGAAGGTTACTTGATGGTCATGAAATCGCTGTGAAGAGATTATCAAAGACGTCAGTTCAGGGAAATGATGAGTTTAAGAATGAGGTAAAATTAATTGCAAGGCTTCAGCACATAAACCTTGTTCGGCTTCTTGCATGTTGCGTCGATGCGGGGGAGAAGATGTTGATTTACGAGTACTTGGAGAATCTAAGCCTTGACTCTCATCTATTTGGTTAGTGCCTCAGCTTCTTACATCTATGCTCTAACAATTGAATGAGTTTGGAAAGAATGTACTCAATTTGGTCATGTTTGATTCATTTGCAGACAAAAACCGAAGCTCTAACCTAAATTGGCAAATGAGATTTGATATTACCAATGGTATTGCTCGAGGGCTTCTATATCTTCACCAAAATTCGCGGTTTAGGATCAACCATAGAGACTTGAAAGCAAGCAACGTCTTGCTTGATAAATATATGACTCCAAAGATCTCGGATTTCGGGATGGCTAGGATCTTTGGACGGGATGAGACAGAAGCTAACACGAGGAAGGTGGTCGGAACTTAGTAAGCAATCATTCTCCAAAAATATCAAAAAGCTTTTTTTCTTTAAATATGAACTAAAGCAGAAAAATATCAATAACTTTTATGTTTTATCATCATTATGCAGCGGCTACATGTCTCCAGAATATGCAATGGATGGGATATTCTCTATGAAGGATTCTACAATTCGAACCGTGACCTCAATCTTCTGGGTTGTGTAAGCTTCGAGCCTCTCAAACTTGTTCTTGTTTCTCACTCAAAATCTGATGATAACACTAAAATTTTTTTTATCCTTATGCACAGGCATGGAGGTATTGGAAAGAAGGAAACGGGCTAGATATTTTAGATCCGATCATCATTGGTTCTTCATCAACATTCAGGCCCCAAGAAATCTTAAGATGCATACAAATTGGTCTTTTGTGTGTTCAAGAACGTGCAGAGGACAGACCAATGATGTCGTCTGTAGTTTTGATGCTCGGAAGCGAAACAACGGCTATTCCTCAGCCTAAACCACCTGGTTATTGCGTCGGTACAAGTCCTCTTGAGACTGATTCTTCTTCTAGTAAACAGCACAGAGATGAATCTTGGACAGTGAACCAAATCACTATTTCGGTCCTTGACGCTCGGTAATTTGAAACTTACCAAGCCAATCTGTTTATACGCATATCAATTCCCTCTTAAGTCTGAAAAGCGAAGTTTTACTACATGGTTCGAATTTTAGAAAAATTAAACTTGTATTTGGAATCATACCCACCGGCCACCTCGGAAAATTCGTCTTTATTTGTCACTCGACTCGTAAAGTTTTACTACATGATTCGGTGTTCTTGAGTATCCGCGATATGCCACATGTTTTTCTGTAAATGTCATGTCTCTAAACGTTTGGATTACTGTACTTAAGAATTGTTTGCCCAAAAGAAAAAAGGATTCCTTAAGAATTATGTTGAAAAACGTAGCAACCCTGATAAAATTTAAAATGAACATTCAAAAGTTAGCTCAGAAATATTTTCCAAAAATAAAGGTTAGGTGAGAAAACAATGTAGGACGGTTCTGCGTCTTTGCATTTAGCATTAGGTAGAGTTAATACTATAATTGAGATAGGTTTGTTTATAATAGACCTATATCTCGTTTGCTTTTTTTTTTTCATTTGCTATGAATGTAAATAACATTAAGAAATGAAAAGTTTAGGTATTACAAAAAAAACATTTTACCTACATATTTGAGACCTTAGCAAATAAGAAAAAAAAGTAACAAATCAATTGGTACAATATGGGTGAGCTTATTGTAGCCGTAGGAGCATTAACTTTTGGAAATACTTTTTGTGTCTTCTTGACGTGATGATGTTGAGTATTTCACGGTCCATGTTCTTGAAAACAATATGAGGAGGAAGTGATATCGAGTTCTGAAGAACATTGTTCGCTGTTTCCAGATGTGATACACTGCCGCTTGAGCAACAAGCTTCCTAAGGATAGAAGGAGCATGTGGAGAAAGATTTCGTATCCATGAGAGAAGCCCCTACCAAGTCATGAATGAATGTCGATAGCCTCCCAGTCTTGGCAATACCAGATTCCAAATTTCCTTTGCATAAGTACATGTGTGTTAAGGTTTAGCTAGATCCGATAAACCAAAACCCAGAAAATAGCAAACCAAGACTGAGAATATATAAATCTAGAAATCGATTAATAAAAATTGTTCCCAGAACGAAAAGAATCATTTAGCAACAAGTTACAAACGATTACTCAGGTCGATTACATGACGATTACCTCTCAAGCACACACGCTTGGTCATAACAACTCACAATAAAAGCATGAAAATAAAGAGATGAGCAACGGCTCCTTTGATTAAATCTCATTGTTAAACCCTCTGTTTAGACTCGAGACTCTGCTTTACTCTTCGAGAGATGGCATGTCACATACCACGTCATTGTTTTTATTCTTCCTTCGATAATAGCTCTGGTGAACCGTATCAATACTTTCTCTCTAAAAACAAGCTTGCCTTTAACCTTGAAATCAGGATACTGCACAAACTCTTTAGATATAGCATCCATGAATTAGGGACATAAGGAAATCCGGACCACTGAATCAACAACTCTCTTCCGCCGGTTGCATTAAACTACATAATCTGCACCGGAAGAAAAACAGAGTCCTCTGTATCCTTTAGCGATGGTAGTTCAGTTTGAACTTGATGGTGAGACCCAATTGCCGCCTTTAGCTGCGACACATGGAACACTAGATTAATCGAAGCATCGGCTGGCAACTTAAGACGATAAGCGACCTTACCAATATTTTCACTGATTTATAAAGGACCAAAAAACTTAGCAGCCAATGTCTGACAAACTCTGCGAACCAATGATTGTTGGCGATACAGTTGAAGCTTCAGAAACACCCACTTGCCCACAAAAAATTTAACATCACGTCGACTCTGATCTGCACTGCACTTTATCCTATCTTGAGCCTGATGCATGTTTTATTTCGCTTCAGTCTTTTACCTCAAAAGACATCACGACTACTACAAGTGAACAGTTAATCGGACGTAGTATTTAAAGATCGATCCAACAGAGACTTATAAGTACGGTACAAATTTGCTGGAAAGGATTATGTCTAAGATAAATCAAAAGAGGGGTTTGGTTTTGGGTTTTGTAACTAAACCAAATCGGAAACTAAAAGCAATTAAATGAATGAAAGATATCAATAAACGAGATATTGGGTTTCAGGGATTTCTCAGGGTACCATGAATCGGGTGAGTCTAGGGTTTTAAACAAAAGAATACATATCCTTTTAAAGAGTTCAAGAACATACGTACGAAAGATTTATGTAAAATCGGCCTACTTCTGATAGATCAACTATCTAAGCTTACTAACTCTGTTACTAAACTTATGCATACAACGACGAGATTAAACCAGCAGATTAACGAGTTCGATTCTAGTTCGTAAAGCCCTATAACTCAAGTATCGCAGGTTATAACACGATACTCACATCTACGCTAGTGAATGCAGGTTTACACACTTTTGGTGCATAAAACTACCTAAGATCAATCGCTAGTTAGCTACTCAAGCGATATGCATTAAGATTAAACCTAGAGGAGAACAAAGATGACCTAAATGTAGATCTAAGAAACCCTAGAAAACAGATCCATGAATCCCCATCGAAATCCTTATACCCAACAAATAAACTACTCACACAAACTTATAGAAAACAACATCATGTGAATAAGAGATTGCATAAAAGAGTATGGGTAAAAGAAAAAGGTTTAGAGATCTTCTCTGGAGATACAAAGATGATGATTCTTCTTCATTAACCAAGTAGAGAATAGAGAGAAGAGAGAGTAGAAAGTGGTGGTGACGACTCCAGCGGTGAATGATAGCAAAAAACGGCGGTGGGGAAGCTTCGGCGAGCTTGGAGGCTTCAGGAAGGTCTCTGATCGTTTCTATTTTGGTGGCTGCAAGAATAATGAGAGGCACACATGGTTTAGGGTTTTAGAACAAGTATTTATAGGCTCCAACTAGAGTTAGGAGTAAAATCGTCATTTCCCGTAGATTAGGTTAATTACAGGGAGAGGGAGAGATTCTAGACCGGTCACAAGGGTGAGTGACTGGTGGTGAGTGAATAGGGCCCTCCCGGGCACGGCCCTTATGACCGGTGTGATCACAAGGCTCTCGAACGGTTGCGTAGCGTCTGGCCGGTCTAGACATATCTTAACTCTTCTGGTCGTAACTTCCGAATGGCTGAATGGATTGCTTTGATTGTACTTTGAGGCAAATTTTGACTCTTCTAGCTTTCCATAGCCATCGAGATCTCTGGATTTTGTGAATGAAAAGACCTCCAACGGATGCCATACTTCTGATGTACAGAAACTACGTTGAAACGGATTTTGCTCGGCTTGTACTCTTTTTGGCTTAAAACCTCATAATTCTTCATTGAAGCATAAATACTTGAATATATCCTCGTTTGACTTGAAATCACATCAAATACTTCCTAAAACATAAGAAAACAATAGCAAATATGGGCAAAATCTCATGTTATCAGTACCCATGATAAATTAGTCTTGATTCGACCCAACAACGCATCTCGCTCTTGGAGTTGAGCAACTAATGACAGTTAGTAGTCGAACCCAAATCAAACCGCAAGACATGATAAGTACTTGAAATGGAGAAGTCTTCAAGAAAAGGTAAAAGAAAGTGTTATAAGAGAGTTCTGTCTAGGATAAATATTTTGCCCTCGTGCGTGGTAACTCGATGAGAAAATTTGTAAACATGACTTTAAGCAACGATTAAGTACCTCTGTTTGGCCATCCGTTTGTGGATGGTTGTTACGAGTAAAATACACATAATAGTTTTACCCTTAATAATAACAGCAAGTGCACATACAATCATAGTAGTACTTAGGGATCGAATCCACATATACCAAAGAAACACACAAAGGACTTGAAAAGATTTAAACTAAGCTAGGACAAAAAGGAGTTGCAAGAACTCAAGGGTTTGCATAAATAAATAAATAAATAATATAAAATATATAATATAAGAAATAGAGTTTCAGACCACTCATTAGAGAATATATAATAGGCATGTAAGATTGGTTATGATACTAAAAGTGATTTGAGTTGTATAAGAGCTTTTTCCTCGGAAACTGCCTCTGTTTTGACCTCTACCACGACATGAATAGCCTCCTCTTGCGGTATAAAACGCCTGATGAGGGTTGGTGTCGACAGTAGTGTAAAATGCTTGAAGAGGGTTTACATCTGTTGGAGCTCCGTATTTTTGCAGCTTGTCATAAAAGTTAGTAAGCTTGTACAGAACATCATCAAAGCTTGGACTTGTTGGCAAGTCCATAGATTCCTCTATAACAGTAACAATGGATCCATATTCTCTACCCACACCAGATAATACCCCATAGATTTTCTCTTGTTCAGATATAGGAGCACCAATTTCAGACAAATACTGAGCTAAAGACCTATTTCCCTTAGTAGTAGTCTGAATCTTTCTCTGAATATCTAGCTTCCTAGAGGTTGAGACCCGATTAAACTTCTTAACAAGATAGAACCATACCTCTTGAGAAGAATTGAGGCCATAAACACTCTTGACGGTGTCCTCCGATACAGATCCAAAGATCCACGCCATTATCAGCTGGTCTGTTTGCACCCATTTGAGGAACTCTGGATTGTTAGATTCAATGACCAGATCTCTATTTCTGACTGCTACAATAGGCGGTGGTCGAGAGATAGCTCCGGTGACATAGCCAAGAAGAAGCTGACTATTGAGAAACTGCTCAAATTGAAGTTTCCAAGACAAGTAGTTTGTTTCGTTTAGCTTGAGAGTAACACATTGAGAAATAGAAAGCGTAGCTGGAGTGAACACTAGTGATTGAGCCGCCATGGCTCTGATACCATGAAGTTTAACTTAATACAGAGAAGAAGAAGATAAAAACTCAATCTTTCATTATTTTAACTTAGAGAAAACCCTATTACAAGCTCTAGCCTTATATAGGAACAGAGAGAACAATCTAGAACTTGATGACCTGTCAGGTGACAGCTCTCTACTCAAGATCCGATAAGGATGCAAATCTATTTGATAGTTGGATTTGATGAGGTGTCTCAGCCGTACTCTTCCCATGCAAAGCTTGTGATTTTGTTCTGTTCTTGGTCAAGGTTACTGTTGGAGCTTCCTTTGACTGAGACTTGGGCTCTATATGGGCTTCGTTCTTGTGGGCTGAGCTTGATGATGAAGAAGCTTTAATAGAAGTTTGTTGGTCTAGTGATCAAGGTTTTTAAGAATTATACACCAAATTTAGGGTTAGATTCTAAAATAAAGTTTTTGTGCAAATTAATAAGTTTCTGAAAATTTGCAGAGTGTCTTAGATGGAGCCATTTGTTGTGATTCTGTATATTGCAAAGAGAGTCTGTCCATCGTGTGGATGTTATACATGCAAACCCCTTTTTTGTAGATTCGAGTGTTTTAGGGAGAGTTTCATCTTAAAACTATTGTTTGTGGGAGATGTTCATCGTAACTATATACTTTACGAATAGTTGAAATATCTTAAATTAGATGTTTATAACGATGATGCAATAGACGAATTAAATAATTTTGATTTTGTTAATATCAAAGGTATAGGCTTTTATATTTTATGTTTGAAAAATGATTGCACCATTTAAGTCTTTTTTTTTTGTTCTGTTCAATTTGGTTCTGGTTTTGCCCAAAAGAGTTTGGTTTAATTTATTGGAGTGTTTAGAGATATAAAGGGAAAAGGCAAATCTTAAATTCGATTTACAGTTTAATTATTTTGTAAATTGTTTTCTTTGATACGATCTTTGTTGATTAATTTATCTTAAACTTAATTCGACATTACTATATTATTTTCTTCTAAGCCCTGCAGGGCAACGCTTCTACAATCTTATAATGTCATCGAATAAAAGCTACACTAATTTTTTAACATACTTGATACTTCGAATGTATCGAAGAATGCACAAGAGAGCACCAAACTTGCAGATCACAACATGCATAGGTTATGTTGGAAGCGTGGGGAATTGATTTCACGCGTTGATTCAAAAGTTGTTGACCAATGACAAAAGTTCGTTGAAATTAATTATTGAAGGGATGAAAAAGTCATGAAATATTGAAGCAGCATGTTGCTTGTCTGCTAGGTAATTAATCCCAAAAAAAAAAAAAAACAAATTAGGCCCGTGTAAGACATAAAAAGATGATTTCTGAACTCAAAATCACCGGTTAGTTAGGTCAATGACATCGATATGTGAAACAATTATATAAACTAAGAAAGAACAAAGAAGATAATAAGGTGTAGAGTGATGAGAGGTGTGCTAAACTACCACAAATTTTACACCTTTTTAGTCGTCTGTTTTGTTGTAACTCAGATTCATCCTACGTATTCGATCTATGTCAATACTTTGCCGTCTACAGAAATTTTGACAATCTCAAGCAACCGAACTATTGTATCTCCTGGTGATGTCTTCGAGCTTGGTTTTTTCAAACTCGGCTCACCTGCTCGTTGGTATCTCGGGATATGGTACAAGAAAGTACCCGAAATAAGCTACGTATGGGTTGCTAACAGAGACAACCCTCTCTCTAATTCCATGGGAGGCCTCAAAATTGTCGATGGTAACCTCATCATCTTCGATCACTACGACAATTATGTCTGGTCAACAAATCTGACCACAAAGGATGTGAGATCTTCGTTGGTGGCAGAGCTTTTGGATAACGGCAATTTCGTGCTTAGAGTCTCAAACAACAACGACCCAGATAAATTTTTGTGGCAGAGTTTTGATTATCCAACAGATACTTTACTCCCACAGATGAAACTAGGTTGGGATCTCAAAACAGGGCTCAACAGGTTCCTTAGATCTTGGAAAAGCTCTGATGATCCGTCAAGCGGTAATTTCACATGCAAACTCGAAACAAGGGGATTTCCTGAGTTTTTGATACGATTCAGATTCACGCCAATATACCGGAGCGGTCCGTGGGATGGAATCCGGTTTAGTGGCATGCCAGAGATGCGAGATTTGGATTACATGTTTAATAAGTTCACGGCGAACGGAGAAGAGGTCGCTTACACGTTCTTAATGACCAACAAGAGCATCTATTCGAGAATAACATTGAGTTCTGCTGGGATTTTTGAGCGATACACGTGGGTTCCGACATCATGGGAATGGACCTTGTTCTCGTCTTCACCAACGGACCAGTGTGATATGAACGAAGAGTGTGGGCCTTATAGTTACTGTGACACGAGCACGTCACCAGTGTGTAACTGTATCCAAGGGTTCAGTCCAAAGAGCCAGCAGCAGTGGGACTTGGCTGACGGGTTGTCTGGGTGTGTGAGGAGAACGCCACTAAGCTGCAGAGGAGATCGGTTTTTGCGGCTGAAAAATATGAAATTGCCGGATACTATGTCGGCGATTGTGGACATGGAAATTGATGAGAAAGACTGTAAGAAGAGATGCCTTTGGAATTGTAACTGTACGGGTTTTGCAAATGCGGATATCCGAAATGGTGGGTCGGGGTGTGTGATTTGGACCGGAGAGCTTTTGGATATTCGAAGTTATGTTGCCAACGGTCAAGATTTTCATGTCAGATTGGCGGCTTCTGAAATCGGTTAGCCTTGTCCTCTTGAATTACTAGACACGGTTAGCTAACATGAAATTCCTGGAACCCGGATCCGTGATTTTGACCCCTAAGGATCTGGATTCAGATATAAAACATTTAAAATTAAAAAATTAAAAAAATTAAAAGCTATTTTTAAATATTAATTTTAAGGTTTTATAATATTACTTTAATATTTAAAATTTTAAGAGTACATATAGCACAAATCTTTATCATTTTAAAAAAGGAAAATGAACATCAAGAATATTGAAAAACAATTGGATCCAATTTATTCCGGACCTATGAGTCGATTGTAGGTATAATATTATGGGTCAAATATATTCAGGACCTATTATATTAATTTACTATTTTATATTAAACAATTAATTCTCTACTCTGACAAATAAGATATAAAATCATTAGAGTAAAAACTACAATAGAAAATAAAAATCGAGTTTTCTGATCATTTTCATTTTTTTTTGTTTATTTCTGAAAAGGAATTTCTAATATAGAATTGACAAAGTCTTCTCAGCGATCAAGTGCATGTAGCGTTTTACTTAAGTACTTAGAATACATACTTACCAAAAAAAAAAAAAAGTACTTAGAATACATTTTCCAGAAGTATTAGGAAGATATATCTAATGATTTTGCGATGATTTTTTTTTTTTTTAAACAAGAGTTTCTCTCCAGAATTTGACATAGTTGAAGTATATTTTACTAATTTCCTCTACTATTAACTCCAATCTATAAATAATTGTAGAATACTATTTTGCAAGTAGGATTACAAGGGTGTGATAAGGGAATTTGTAAATTAAAAAGATTTTGGAAAATTTGTATCTCACTAATCCACGTATGGAATAAGAGAATACAAAAAGAAACACGAAACACCTCTCTCTGTACAAGCAATGTGACACAAAACAATATTTTGGGCGAGTAAATTCACCTAGTCAGGACATAAGGATCTGACAAATATTGACATCAGTTTAGTATATTTTAGTAATTTTCTCTACTATTAACTCAATATATGGTTATAGAATACTATTTTACAAATAAGCTACAAGGGGTGTGATAAGGGAATTAGTAATTAAAAAAGATTTGGAAAATTTGTAACTCATTCATCCACGAAAGGATTAAGAGTATACGAAAAGAAAACATCAAACTTCCCTCTCTGTAATTCACCAAAAACCAAAATATATGGGTAATTCACCAAGTCAGGACATAAAGAGTCTGGCAAATTTTGATACAAGGCCTTTACGTTTTTCAGGTGATGAGAAAAAGATAAGCAAAACAATCATAGGTTTGATTGTTGGAGTCTGCGTTATGCTTCTTCTGAGTTCTATCATCTTCTACTTTTGGAATAGAAGAAAGAAGCGAGCAAATGCAACACCTATTGGTAAATTAGTAAAAGAAAAAAATCAGCTTTTACCTGTGAATTGTGGTCTTTTTATGTATTAATTGTTGTCCTGTCTGAATGGAAACAGTGTTTGAAGAGAGAAACCAAGATTTGGTAATGAATGGTGTGGTAATATCAAATAGGAGACATTTGTCTGCAGAAACCGAAACAGAGGATTTGGAACTTCCATTGATGGAGTTTGAAGCTGTTGTCATGGCTACCGACAATTTTTCCAGTTCCAACAAGCTTGGACAAGGTGGCTTTGGTATTGTTTACAAGGTAAATATTAAAACACTCTAAAATTAGATCATATGTCACTGGACTTTTATATACCATTCAAAATATTTGGTACCAGGGGAGATTACTTGACGGACAAGAAATTGCGGTAAAAAGACTGTCCAAGACGTCGGTTCAGGGGTTTGATGAGTTCATGAACGAGGTGAAACTAATTGCAAGACTTCAGCATATAAATCTTGTCCGACTTCTTGGTTGTTGCATTGACGTAGAAGAGATGATGCTGATCTATGAGTACTTGGCAAATCTAAGCCTCGATTCCTATCTCTTCGGTTAATTCCTCATCTTTTAAGAAGCTTTATTTTACATACGAATATTTTTTCAAATAAGTTACCGTCGTATGTGATTCATTTGCAGACCAAAACCAACGCTCAAAGCTAAATTGGCAAATGAGATTTGATATAACCAATGGTATAGCTCGAGGACTTTTATATCTTCACCAAGATTCACGGTGTAGGATCATTCACAGAGATTTGAAAGCAAGTAACGTCTTGCTTGATAAAGATATGACCCCAAAGATCTCGGATTTTGGGATGGCTAGGATCTTTGGACGGGATGAAACAGAAGCTAACACGAGGAGGGTGGTTGGAACTTAGTAAGCAATCATTTTCTAGAAAAAGCGAAAAGAATTTTTCTGAAATTCTAAATTTAAGGGAATCGTAACATTCGAGTTTAATTTTCGTTATGCAGCGGCTACATGTCCCCTGAATATGCGATGGATGGGATATTCTCAACGAAGTCGGATGTTTTCAGCTTTGGGGTCTTGCTTCTTGAGATTATAAGTGGCAAGAGGAACAAAGGATTCTACAACTCGAACCATGACCTTAATCTTCTCGATTGTGTAAGCTTAAGAACCTCTCATACTTGGTTTTATTTTTGCACTTCAATCTGATGATAAAGCTCAAAATCAAAATCTCAATTATACGCACAGGTGTGGAGGAATTGGAAAGAAGGAAAAGGGCTAGAGGTCGTCGATCCAATCATCAAAGATTCTTCATCATCAACGTTCCGGCCGCATGAAATTTTAAGATGCATACAAATTGGTCTCTTGTGTGTCCAAGAATATGCAGAGGACAGACCAATGATGTCGTCAGTGGTTTTGATGCTCGGAAGCGAAACGGTGGAAATTCCTCAGCCTAAACCGCCTGGTTATTGCGTTGGGAGAAGTAAACAATACAACGATGAATCTTGCTCACTGAACCAAATTACACTTTCGATCGTTGAGCCTCGGTAATTCTGAGTGTTAACCAGACAGTCCGTATTATTTAGTAATGATGAGTAGTAAACTGAGTGATAGAACTATTAACTATAGTAAAGTTTAATACGTGATTCGTTTTTAAAAATATAATAATTGTTAATTTTATTATTGTCTTATTAGGTGTGATCCAAAATAAATTTTTGAACAATGAAAATTATTTATATCGTAGTTTATATCTTATAATTATAAGATAATGTTTTCGTACAATTGTTCAAAACTTCTATTGATAAATATGTTATTGTTACACGTTAGAAAATTTTACATGTTTTGTGTTACTCGTTTTTGTATACATGGATAAATATCATAATCTATTTGTCAGGTTAGAATTTTTGTTTTTTTTTTTGTTTTTTGCAGGTTATGTGATACACCTTAGAATGTTTCGGGTCTGTGGTATTTGCAAGGTTTACAGCTAAAATAATTTATTTAATAAACTAGAGAATTTTGAAATACGAATTAAATAGTTTTTCTCCTTGATAATTTGGATTTGTGAAGAGTACGTAGCAAGCCTGTCATTTAGAAAAATAGAATAACGGACAGAAAGAGTTCTTGTCGGAGCATATGATACAATTGCAAAATCAAACATAGGTATCTGAGAGCATTTTTGCTATGGTATCGGCACAGAAATTCATCTCCCTGTTACTGTACTGAACTGAGTGAAGTCCACATTCTATTAAACTCCACACACTTTGGAAACGCCATGAAACAAATTTGATCTCCTCGACAAAGTTTTGAAGGCTGGGACAATCTTCTTTCTCCATGACTGCACGGATTAATGATTCTGAATCGCTTTCAAAGATAATCTCCGAAATTAATGTTTACGTTTGCAACATATATAATTGTCCAAACCAGACCAACAGCTTCAAGCCTTCAACCAATATACAGAGCAAGCGAGCGGATCCAAGGATTTTTTCACTGGGTGCTTAAATGGGAAGTTTTTTTTTTCTTTTTTTCTTCAGTAAAATGGGGATTAATTTGATCGTGTGTAATAGGAGTGGATAAGGAGATCTTAGAGGTTCTTAAATTGAGGTTCTTGACTAATCATACATATAAAAGTAGGGTTTCACTCTCCCATGATTGGTCCACTTGGCATTTTATTTTTAAAAATATAATATTTATTTTAATTAAACTTAAATGGAACACATTTAATCATATACATTAATCCATACTAAATTGTAACTGAAACTACATAATTGTGAATTGACTATTTTTTCTCTATTCATTGTCATTTAAATACACTATAATTATAATTGTAACTCCTATAATCTAATTATTTTAGAAATGTAACTTCCATCACTTCTTTTCCTATAAATAACTATTCTCACATCCTTCTCCACCATGTCTTAAATCCTAAATATTTTCTTTGTTTTGTTTATGTTCTTGCATGAGTTGAAAACTCAATTAAGATATCATTGTAAGAGTTTAATTATATATTTTATTTAATATATATTTTACATTCTTTTCAATTTTATTTCTTCTTTGTTTTTATGTACTTTTTCCTTCCTTCTTTGTTTTTTTATAATATTCTTAATATAAAATTACATATGTATAATATAATTTTGATGGCTATGATAAAATTACCTTATTGATGCAGATTCAAAAATATTATTTCGGACCATCGCACAATAAGAGAATCAAGCTAAAGAAACTATCTCTATTTTTTTTACTTTGGATGTTTGATTATTTCTTACATATTCTGTATATTTATTTTATTTTTAAAAGTATGCAATGTTTTAACGAAATAAGTTTTTGTAATACAATTATCAAATTAATTTTCCTTAACTCTCTCTTACCTCCAAAAAAATTGTAATACATATTTTTAGTATACTCATCATTATATTTAGTTTTTTTTATTCAACATATAATTATATAAAAATTATTACAAAATTTATTTAATTCAAATTTTGTAGTGTAAGAATTTTTCTATATATAAAAAATTTGATATTCCATTTCCAATCTAGCTTACTACAAATATGATATCATTAGAATTAAACCTAGCAATATAACATAAATTAAGGGAAATATAAAAAGAGATTAAACAATGAAAGTAATCTTTGGGATTTTTTTTTGAAGCTTTTGATTGCACTTCATATGATTTTATAGGAAATGTATTTAATTTGTTATTTACAAAATAATTTGGAAATTGTAAATCCTATAATTTATTTTTAATGTAACTCCTATAGTTTTTTAAAAAAAATTGTAACTTTTCTCACTTCTCATACTATAAATACTCATTTTCTTATTCTCTCATTATATCTCAAATCTTAAAAAAGAAGTGTTTTGTGTTTTTTTTTTGCTGTGGTTGTCGTTGTATGGATTAGAAAAGTCAATTTAAATATTACTCTAAAAACTTAATTCTAAAGATGCATCTTCATTTTGTATTTTAGATTAACATTAGTTTTTTAAAGATGCATCTTCATTGTGCATTTTAGATTAACATCTTATAAGTAATCATTCTCTCATCTTCTTCTATTATATTTATGTATCTATTTTTATGTAGTTATATGGGTTAAAAATAAAAAATTTGATTCTAAATTTATTTTAAAAAGTATATATATATATATCTTAAATTGTATTTATTTTTGTATACTTCTAAAGCCATACTAGATTATACTTATTTCTTCTTTTATTTTCATATTTTTAATTTAAATTCACATATGTAAAATAAAAGTTTTGATGGTTATAACAAAACTTTCAAGTTTATTGGTGATAGAGAGTTAAATATATCAACTTTAATCATGGCACAACAAGGTAATGAAGTTGGAAAGATCCATTTCCATTATCTACTTTAGATGTTTGATTATTTTCTAACATATTCATGTAATTTTTTTAATTATGTAATATTTAATCAAATAAATTATTGTAATACATTTATCAAATATATTTTTCTTACCTCTTTCTTATCTCGAATAAATTTTGTAATTCATTTTAATATAGAGAAATTGTTAAAAATGTCCCTTTTTCAATACCCCTTTTCAAAAATGCCCCCTTTGAAAGTCCATTTTTAAGTTTGCCCTCTTTTAATTTTTAATGACCATTTTACCCTTATTTGAAACAAAATTAGGTCCACAAAATACAAAATATTTTTTGGCGGGAAAAGTGATCCCGCAATTTTCCCGCCAAAACACTTGTAAAAACCTTTAAAATACCTTGTAAAATTTTCCCGTAAAAATTTTTCCCGCCAAAATTTTTTTTTTGCGGGAAAAGTGATTCCGCAATTTTTTTGGCGGGAAAATTTTTGGCGGGAAAAATTTACAAGGTATTTTAAAGGTTTTACAGAGTATTTACAAGTGTTTTGTAAGGTTTTACAATGTATTTTAAAAGGTTTTACAAGGTACTTATAAGGTTTTATAAGGTATTTATAACTTGTAAAACCTTATAAAAAACTTGTAAAACCTTATAACTTGTAAAACCTTATAAAATAGCTTGTAAAATCTTATAATATCTTATAAATACCTTATAAATACGTTGTAAAACCTTTTAAAATACATTGTAAAACCTTATAAATACCCTGTAAAAAACCTTAAAAAAACCTTGTAAATTTTTCCCGCCAAAAATTTTCCCGCCAAAAATTTAACGCCAAAAAATTTTTTTTATCACTTTTCCCGCAAAAAAAAATTTTTGGTGGGAAAAAATTTTACGGGAAAATTTTACAAGGTTTTTTTAAGGTTTTTACAGGGTATTTATAAGGTTTTACAATGTATTTTAAAAGGTTTTACAACGTATTTATAAGGTATTTATAAGATATTATAAGATTTTACAAGCTATTTTATAAGGTTTTACAAGTTATAAGGTTTTACAAGTTTTTTACAAGTTTTTACAAGTGTTTTGGCGGGAAAAATTGCGGGATCACTTTTCCCGCCAAAAAATATTTTGTATTTTGTGGACCTAATTTTGTTATATTTCCTTATATATTTGTGATATCTTTTATTAAAAGAAGGGTAATTTAGTCATTGTGAACATAAAAAGGGGTATTTTTAAAAATGGACATCCAAAGGGGGCATTTTTGTGAGTCTCCCTTTAATATATGTATCATTATATTTAGTTTTTATGATCCAATAGATAATTATATAAACATCGATATAATGTTTATTTTATTTAAAATTTGAGGTTTAAGGGTTATTTGAAAACAAAAAGAACTTTGTTAAAAAAATTTGGTCCTTAAGATTAAAAAAATGAAATCATATGTGTCAAGAAAATTTAATTTAGTTAGAATGAAACCTAGCACTCATACTTAAATGGAGTGAAATATAGAAAAATAACTATAACTAAAACAAAATTCATATTTATTAAATCCTATAAAGATGAAACCATTAGTATGAAATCTAGCATTAGAATTTCAATTTATGAGTGAAATTAAAAAAGAAAAAGATTTAAAAAAAAAAAGAAAGATAGAAGTTATCATTGAGATATTTTAAAAACAATATTTAGATTGAACTTCATATGATTTTTATAAGAAAAAACAAATTTAGTTTGTCACTTATAAAATAATATGAATTTGAACTATTATGTGGGAGTTTATATCAACAAATAAACAATTTTTTAGTGTGTTTATATCAATAACTACTAAATATGAGCAAATGCAAAATATCAAATCTTAAGAGCTTTTTAAATTTCTTCTAATCATACTTATATTGAAACAAATTTATTTATAAGAAAATATCCCGCCGCGTAGTGCGGGCTTTTATCTAGTTTATATATATAATTTAGTATAATTCAATTATCTATTAAATTTAAATATTTAAGAAAAAGTAAATCAATTAAAATTTGACAAAATGTGTAATGGGAGTTTCTCATGGAAAACCCCTTCCCATTCTTTCTCTCATACTTCTCATTTTTCATTATTATTTTATTGAGGGATCTCATTTAGGTACTTTTATTGAAGATGCTCTTAACCATCTCAGAGCACCTCCAAGGTGAATAGACGGTGATAGTTTCTAAAAAGATAAAAATAGTAATATTTTAATTGAATAATTATATTCTTATTTTTTAATATAGATTGACCATTAATAGAGCTATACGGGTCTTTTGGTTTATGCAATGTT